TGTCATGACACTTTCCCGACTTCGAACGTGCCTGAATAACGCTACGAAATTTTGCTACAAAAATCGAAAAGTGTAGAGAGCTTTTATTTCTACCTTTAACTTTGATCTTTAATAATAAATTCCTCGATGTTTCGAAAAATTATGACTTCAAGTCAAGCTGTTTTAAAACAGCGGTAAAACATCTTAATAAACAGTGAAATCGAAAATCTTGAATTATCATTTTCAAAAACAAAGTTTTTATGATGGGTTGGATAACATAACGTGATCATTTCCCAATGCATTAAACACTTGTCGCGCCTTGTCGAAATAAGTTACGTCATTCCATCACGCTTCGAATCACGTTCAACGGATTTTATGAGGATTTTTCGACATCTACTATCAATTTCATCGTCCTTCGTTTCTTCCACTCGTCGACGGTGGCAGCTCGACGTGCTACGTGCGCACATATGTAGAACGTCGAAGCCACAGGTGTCAGCGAGAGCAGTATTTTTCAGCACGAGGCCCGTGTGGTGAGGGTGATAGAGCAAGAGAGAAAAGGGTAAAGAGCGCGCTAAGAGGTGCGGCAGCATGGGAGAGAAATGGAAAGAGAGAGAGAGAGAGAGAATGAGAGAGTGCCATCGAGAGAGAGGTCGGGAGGGAAACGAGAGAGGAGGGACGCCGTTTCACCGCGGCAGGGAAAACGGCGGAGTGTGCCGGCACGCACGTTGAATCTGCTAAACGCTCTCGCTCGTGCGTGAAATGCCTCGATATCACTGTTTTATTTCGGCCCGTTCGTTCGTCGCCCGTTCTCTCCCGCCGTTCTCTTCTCCGCAATTCCGTCCTTTTTACTCCCCCTCCCCTCGACCGAGTCGACCGGCCGGCGCGGCGCGCAACCCTTTCTCTCTCTCGTCGCGCTCTCCCGTGCCCGTTCGTGCAGATTTGATGACCCTCCCGCTATGATTTGACGATGATTCAATTGTCCACAGCCAACTGAAATGAAGCACCTACCAAGTTGAGCCTTTTTTTCACCGGCCGGCCTTTCATTTTAGTATTGGTTAGCGCGTTTCCGACGCTTGGGGAACGACCGGACTATTGGTTTAACCCTGGCAGGTATGAGGAATATAAACGAACTTTTCTGTCTGATTGCAAAATCATAAAATCTGCCTTTTATTAACCGTATATTTGATTGAAATAGAATATATGATGATTATAATTTTTATTTTAAAAAATTTTACAAATTGATGAATTAATTTTGACCATATATAAATTTAATCTATTTTAATAATAATAATAAATTTACATGAAGAGAAAGAAAAAGAAAAAATTCAAATGAGAAATATATTTAATTATTATATATTTAGCTATTTTTTATTTAAGCTTTCTTAGAGTGTGTGAGACTTTATCATATTTATTATATTAATATATAGTAACTAATGTACATTATTTTTCGCGTTAAAAAATTCGGAAACTATTGAAAAAAAAAATTTATTACTGGTTTCGAAAACGCGATATCGCCGTAAAATCGCGCTCGATAAGTCTATAAATCGCGGAGTGGCCCGTTCGGCCAATTTAATTAATAATTATCGACTCGAAGAGAAGCGCCCGGCACAATGGCGATACTTCCTTGGCGTAATCCTCCGAAGATTAACGAGCCCGTACCAGAAGGGACCGCTCTCCACCGCCTCTCCCGCCGCCCGAACCCTCCTCTCGTCCCCCCTTCTGCGCGCTATATCGTCCTCTCTTACAGCCGCAAGACGCCATGGCGCGCCTTGCGGTGGTTGCGGCAAGAACCCTCGCCGTACCCGCATTAACGCAATTATGAATTTGTCGCGTTGGGATCTGACAATACAAGATGTCGCAGCCATTCTCCCGCCGCACCTTCCTACCCAGCCCCGGAGACCCTTAGCCCGGCTTTCCTCGTTTACACTAAAACCGATTTTGCGGACTATATGGATCGAGACGACGTGACATAAATGCAATTTGCTAGGCCACGTGGACGGTCGTGTGCGACACGATGGAGAACGCTAGTCATTGTTGCGACGTACGCAACGTTAATCGATCATCGCGATGAATCGACCGCAGATCATTCCGAAAACGAATTAAGGTAGCCGCGGTATTTCGACAATTTTAAATGTTTTATCGCTCTGAAGATTAATATTGACATATTGTCATTTGAACTTGGAATAGCGTAGCATCCCAGCAAATACAGATTATAACTTGCAACAATATTATAATATTCCAGCTATACTACAAAAATGTTACAATATTGACGTAATGTAACAGTTATAATCTATGTTTGCTGGGATGTTACAAACGATATCGATGATACATCCAAATGTACAACGACACATGTTGTTGTCCTAATTTCAAACCCCGAAATGACATTAGTAGCTGCAACTTCCAGCCAGCGCGGATCTTACTTGCCATTTATCGCGCGCTGCGCTGAATGTCCAAGAAATATTCTCAGGACGCTTCGTCCCGTCGTTCTCTCCCTCGCGAATCAATATCCAATGTATTTCGTGCGCCCGCCTTGTTAGCCGTGCCGCTCGTTTTGCGGCGCGGGAAGCGAGTGTAGTTTCGGCGGCCCTAAGTTAGTTTCGAACGGTCCCGTAGCAATAGCAGTAGCAGGCTGCTCTCTCTCTCTCTCTCTCTCGCTCCCTCCCTCCTCTCTCTCTCTCTCTCTCTCTCAACTCACTTTCTCTCCGGTATCGTGCGGTAAAGTGCGACAGACGGGACGAGAGGATCGTTGCGGCTCGCCGCAGGCGACTGCTGCGACCTGCTCTCCTCCAGCGACAAATTCCTCCTCCCGGCTCGACCGCTTCGTCCCCGGTTCTACTCGCTCTTGCGCGCCACCCGTTCATCGTCGCGTCGGAGAGCCGCGTCTCTCGACTTCTCTCCTCGGCTTATCCTCGTAAACTTGTACAACGCGCAAGAAAATCAATCGGCATGGCCCGGCAAGGCGCGAGGATTCCGACGGCCTTTCTCCCAGCCCGGATTCGGGAAAGGGAGCCACGAGAGCGCCGGCAAGGGTGATTCTAAACATCAAGGAGGTATATATATAGAGAGAGAGAGACTGCCTAGTCAGCCCTTAATATCGTGAGAGCCGGATCCGCGCAAACAAGCCACCGTAACCTCCCGGTTAAGCGCCCGGCCAAGCCACCCGGTCAGGCCAGTGTCGGTCCGACCGCTTGCTGGCCCTATTATCGCTAACTAATAAAGGGCCTAATTGAAACGCCGGGCTTTTGTTTCCAGTACTCGAGCACCGCTCGCCTTTCCAAAAGCGCCAAACCCGGCCGTTTGACCGGCTCTTGAGGCTCCAATGCAGATCGGAATTCGTTAGCCAAGTGGATTTGCGAAAATTGATTGGCAATGCTTTAACCGAATATACATATACATACATATATATGCGAAAAATGAAATCAATCATTTAGCTTTCCAGTTAAAGAAAATATGTTTATATTATATATATTTATATTTACATTTAATTGAACTTCAATCTTCACTTGAAATTACAAAATCTTTTAAGCAAATCCAAAGTATTGTTTAAATTATATAGCAAATTTGATTGGACGCACTAGTGTGCATTTATTGCACATTAATGTTGTTGTACTCTGTTCTAATTTCAACGTAGAAGTGAGATATCTCGAACAACAAAATGCCCAATACATATTTTACCAAACAATACCATAAACTGGTATTAATAATTTCGTGGTTTAACTTGTTCCTATATTTATATTAAACACACACCTTTATGTCAATTTATGTACAATGGTTTTAGTGCACTGACAATGAGTGCGCACTAGTGCGTCCAATCGAATTCGGTAATAATTTGTCTTAATTAAGACAAATCATGATTTAAATGTTCTTAAACATAAACAAACAAAAGTTATTATGCGCAATTATAATCGAAAAATTATCTTAGTAAAAACTCAGAAGTTCTGGATAAATCATAGGTCTCTCTGCGATTGGAAAGGGAAATGAATCAACGATAGTTCAACCATAACGCATATAGAAAGTGATCGGAATCGCTTATAATCGCGACCCGTATATAGACGGCGGCGTGCTCGTCTACAACTATTTTCTATACGAAGGGGAAAGAAGAAAGTTTGATCGCAGTAAGTGCCATTATCATGAGAGATCACTTTCGATGCGATTTTTGCTCCGAATGAAAGCTCCGATTGTCGTCGTATTACATTCTTAAATTCCATACGCGGTTTACTGGAAGCAGAACGTTATTCTTGGGAAATACAATCATATCAATTTCCCGAATCATTAAATTATTCATGCTCGTTTCTTTGTCAAGGGACAATATGTGACGAAAATGTCGTAAATAATTTCGACCGTCATCTTCATTGTTACAGTCAAGCGAGAAAATTGTTAAATATATATAAGAATCGCAAAAGCATTATTTATTGATAACAATAGATAACTCCGATACGAAGCATGTCAAAACTTTTCTTTTGATGGAAGATATAAATTATTAGATATCATGCAAAAAAAGATTCTCTTAATATAAATGTTCAGCTCGTAAACTATTAAAAAAATTAAATCATTTTTTAACAAAATAAGTTTCAAGAAACATTTAGAATTTTCTGTCATAAAGTGAAATCAATTTAATTTTAAGAGATATCAAACGATTTCTTAATAATCCAATTTAAAGTTAAAAATAAATTTGTAATAAAATATATTATTAGTTATTACATAAACTAAAGTTCTTATTTTTTATTAAAGTTTTGAGCCTAGTTAACATTTCCTTAGTGCATCGGGATGCATCCTCTCACGAGAAGGGAAAATGAATCGTTCGGATATTAAGCAATAAAATTGCACGTGCACCGAAAGTTTCGCAAGAGCGATGAAAAAACGGGTACAATCATTCTCACAGGCCGAATGATATTGCGCGATAAATCATTTTTCATTCGGTCGCAAAAATATGAGAAGAGAAAGAGAGAGAGAGAGGGAGGAAAGGAAGGGAAAGGAGGGGATAGCTCGCGTGCTGCAAAAATAGTAATGTAAAAACTTACCTTGCTGGCGTGCGGTTGGACTGACTGTTCGTGAGAGAGACTGCTGCAAATCGGCCGAGAAGGCAGCCTGCCGTGTTTTGCTCAGATATAACTGCAAAAGGAAACGAATTACGTGAAATTATTCCTCCGACGTCAATCCTAATTTATAAGCAAAGCATTTCTTTAATTGCTTGTACTATATTAAGAACGAGTTTTGTAATGTGGGAAGACAGATGTGTCGTGACTGTAGTCGAGCTTAAGTGCGCTACTCTGAATTATGAAACGAGCGAATAATTTACTCGTAAGCAGCGAACGACAACGTTCGAATCCATTATTTTGATCGTTATTATTAGGATATTGTAAGTGAAGTGTCATTTTGTGAGATCAATACGATTTCTTGAGAGAAAACGTAAATTTAACGTAATGTCCGTAATGTAATTCAACACGCAACAATAAGATATAAGTAATGTCGCATAATGTAGAAACAGAAACTAGGGCACATGTTCTATTTTCTATTTATGCATAACAATATATCTTTGTTAACTTGAATGTTACTTTTCTACTCATTTCTTATTAATATATATACATATATATATATATATATATATATATATATATATATATATATATATATATCCGCAGTCATAATTATAAAACAATGGCGAATGTAATATGCCGGCCAAACTTAGCCAATCTTCAAATAATGCAAATTTTTTGTAGAAAACTTATCAAAACGGAGTTTTTGAGTCGTTAATCATGGAATTTTCAATTATAAAAGCAGGATTCGGGATATTGAATCCAATATGGCGGGTGGAATATATGTATACATATAGCCAATGCATCTCACACGTTCAAGTTGGAAGATTTTTTTGGACATCAATGTGTAGACATTGGTTTATTAAATTTCTGATTACAAATTATCAATCTTTACTTAAAATTCAAGGCTGTTGAACCAATATGGTAGATAAAATATGGAAATAATAGAATTTGCATTATTTGAAGTTTGGCCGGCATATTCACGGAAAGAACGATTTTGTTGAAAGAT